CATTGTGGCATTGAGCAGCTGGCGAAGTGTGCTGGAGGGATCTTCAGGGGACAGGTCACACACTGCCTCACCAGAAATGCGTGCGCTTTAAAATTGTTACAGGAACATCTGGCATGGTGTTCCTTTTTCTTGGATCAATAAGATAGCTCGGTGCTGCATTTTGTCCAACAGGCGGCTTGGCCCATTTGATTTGCTTTGCTGAACTGAACCATCCAGTGGACCCCCAGGCCCAAAGAAAAAACTGAAACATCCACTGCCCTTTGTGTGCTGGAGGCCTTCCATAGTTTCCATAGCAACGTTCAAACATTACATGCTTGATCATGCTGCTAGATGCTCTGCTTGGCCTCCTCCAACTCCAGGATCATCCATTCGGTATATGCCTGGAAATCTGATCACAGATGATCACAGATGATCACAGCTCAAATAGCTGGGCAATGCTGGGCACCAGGGTACGTTTTGAGCTTCACAGCTTGAGCACAGCTAAGCTCATATTGTTTTTGACAGAGTGGGGCAAATTTCGCAATGATAATGTGCCAGCAAGTTCTGGGCTTCTTTTTTGCACCTACTGTGACCTTTGTTTTGTTTGCACCAAAGTGGTCGCATCTTAGGGCCAGTCATCAGCAGAGTATTCCTTTGTTTTGATTTGTTCCTCTCCGCTGAGTATTGGTGTCTCATCTTTTCTCATTAACTGTGTTTGTTGCAGCTGCAAGTATTTGGCATTCCTTTCATGCTTCTCCCTTCGAACTGGAGATTGGAAACACGTCTACTCACCGCTCTGAAGTCTCCAGACTTTGCCCGGGTCACATTCAAAAAACATGGCTAAAGTATGCTAAAGTCATGCCAAAGCTGGATACAAATCCCGTCCTCCGGATACAAATCCTGAAGCTTTCGCTTGGCGGGCAGGAAAAGTTCCTTGGGAGCACTCACTGCCTCAGCCATTCTTTCCAGTCCCCGTGATGTATCCTACAGATCCATAGGTTCCCAGAGCGAGAATCGAACAAAATGCGAACTAAATTAATTAAATGTAAAAAAAAAACAATCAGGCCGGCGCATTTGATTTCGATTGAATTTCCAAAAGTGGGAAATTGAATTGAGGCATAAAGTTTCCAGGCAAAGTCTTTCGCTGTTTGACGTGGTGAATGTTCTGAAATTCGATGTACTTTCGCCCTCACTTTACCCTGGTCATCCTGGTCCTAATTAGTAATCCAGCCAGGGAATATTAAAGGCAACCAGCTGGGCATTGCAGCATCTCCTGGGAAATTAGGCCCAGAATATTCCAGAACGAAGTCCGTGGGTGATAAGCTGCCGAAAATCACTGTGATTTCGATTCCTAGCATCTTTTGCCGGCAATGATTATTAAAATTCCCGGGAAAGCTCCATGTTGATCCATTTAATGTGCGTTTTTTTTGAATTGGAATTACCATCCCTGTGAACGGTTTTGTCTCGCAATGGGATGTTTGATGATGTTTGTGCGTCTGCATAGTTGCAAACCTTCTTTTCACATCTCAGCTTGCCACTTTTGCTTCCATCATCGCATCCCTGTCAGTCCGTGACTGAAAATGTCATGCACATGCCATGCTTTCCGGTCATACGTCGCTCTTCTTGATCTTGTGGTACTCTGGGCTACATTGCCAAGCCTGTCTCTTAAAAAATCTTCAAAACACATCCTGCCCTGTCAAACGTTTCGCAGTGGGCCTCAGTCTTTCCGGAAGGTAGTCTTTCGTGGCGCTCTCAAGCTCTAGGATCCTGAGCCTCCCAAAGCACCAAGTCGCGACTCTGACTACAGCCGCATTATACCAAGATTTGTCAAAGATGTTTCCCAGCCACACAGCCCTTTTGTAGCCTGTAATCCCCTTTTTCCACTTCTTCGATCTGAACTCGGTGTTCCTTTGCCTCAGCACTTCACTGGATTTCCCATCAGCCATGTTGATGCTACATTTTACGCGGTTGTCTGGAAGGTCCCAACATTGTCCACGCATTTCTGTAACACCTCCGCATCAGCGCCTTCAATGGCCTCACCTTAGCAACTTTGCATTGGCTTAGCGGCTTAGAGGATCAAAGTTGGAGGCATGGTCCAATGGTGCGATCCTTTGGACTCTTCGGATTCAGATTCAACGGATTCAACTGGAACTGGGCATCTCTGCGCCACAGTCTGTGTCCACAGTCTGTGTCCACAGTCGACTCTTCAGCTTCTATTTGGTGAATTTTGGTCAGACAAATTTCATCCCACTGAAGGTCAGTTGAGATTCGCAAGCAACCTGCTCTGCAGCAGAGTGGGGCTGTTTGAAAGCCATTTGATTTGCCTACCAACCAATTCTGAAAGGAACTTCACACAGGGTCAAAAGTAATTGTTTTCGACCGTCATTGCTAATCTCAATTACAACAATTCATAGATCATCATCCTTTGTATCACAGAATACAGTTGAAATTACAATATTTATATATAATTATATGTTTGCATATATATATATATACACAATATCTGTCTGTGGGCATGCTGGCACAGGGCGTCAGATCTCAGCCCCGCACGAAGTTCGAGAAGTGCCAAGCGGGTCTTTGGCTGAACCAAGTCCTTGCGCCGTGCGCCGAGATACGCCGAGCAGTCGTTTGGGGGGATCTCCATGCTGGAACCACATTCGGGATGTCTGCATATATCATATATCATATATTATCGTATTTTACGTAAATTACAGGTTATACAATATACAATATGAATAATCCTGAGTATGTCATTGTGTCTGTACATGTTTGGTATGTCTACTATTGTCCAGTTTCATATATATATATATATATATTATATATTATATATATACGTATAATATCACTACCCTTTTAAGGGGGGGACGTACCCAAATTGCAAGACACAATTTGGAGGTTTTTGAGGGAGGGGGCCTGGTAAATGTCAGCAAGCATTTATTTTTTTAACTACGTTGTATTTGCAAAATTTCATTTTAGTAGGTCCCCTCGTTCTTTACTGGATGTCATTTATTTCTTAAAAAACGCAGGGGATCGTTCAAAATGTAAGATTCCAATTTTGAAAAAAATGCGAGAAAATGAAAAAAAAACATGTCTGCAAATAGCTGTAGAATTGCAGAAAATAAAAAATGCAAACTAAAAGTTTGTAGGACCCCAACTGCTTGGTATTTCCAATACATTCTACACTTTTTCTGCACTTTGTTTATCATTTCCACATGTAACATAGAGGTATAGAAGGTGTATTATTCCTTGCAAATTACAGGAAAATCCTTGAACTTCAAATAAATTTATTTACCTCCTATGGGAGAACAATGGAATGCAGGTGTAACTAAGACCATCATGTAGGTACATAAAGAGGGCTTACTATGGGGACCCCATAAAGTTTCATGAGGTCCGTTTGAGGTCCATTTGAGGTCCATTTGAGATCATTTAGGTGCTGAACTGGTGTTTCAATGTGTTTCATATTTTGTGCGAGGCTTCAAGTCTGTTAATCTTAAATCATGATGTATCATCAGGAATTGTAGGCCTCAGGTGTAGGCTGGTTACATGTTTCTATCTTAGTTTTACCTTCTTTTCCGAGCACTTTCTGCAAGGAACTACGGACCTCAGACATAGGTTGATTACATTCCCACAAAGACACCTCACAAACTGTTTACAAACTGCTTGCGGACATTTCACAATTTTTACCTCCCCACCCCTATCCGTAGAGTACGGGGGCGGGGGGGGGAACGGGGGGGGGGGGTACGGGGTAACGTATCTATTACGGACTTTCGACCCCCCTCCAAATGTAAATCTTCCGGGGCTCGGTTTTTGACGTGGGAGGTCTAACATACATATAGCCTTCCCCATCGGGAAAAAATACGAAGGGGTCAAAATTGTTGCTTACATTTTTTGAATGTCCCCCATGCTTACACCCCACGAAAAGGTTGGTGATTATATAATATATTATATTAATATTGACAATCCGCTGCGTCGGCGGGAGTTTATCTGCACTCCTTGTGATCTTCAGGCCATCCCATTTCTTTCGCTGTCGACAGCAACTTCCGGATAACCTTTGTCCAGCCAGGAAAAGTGCAAATTTGGAGGCCACTTGGGAGTTTGCATTATTCATGTTAGATATATAAAATATCATATAATATTATATAATAATCAAGCCTTGAAGGGATCTTAAGTCTTGCTGAGGGACTTTGCCGTTAAATTTCCAAACCCCTGGCTTCAAGGACTTAGGACGACTCCTCCGGGCTCTCAGTGGTGGCCACCATGGAGACCTGACGGTCAGCGGTCAGCCTATGGAGGACAGGGTGCTTTTCTGCTTGTTTAGCTAGTTTCGCTGTAGAATGTTGAAATATGTTAAAATAGAAAATAGTACGTATTTTGCTGTTTATGTTTTATATAATTAGTACAGTACATCAATTGTCTCTGTCAATTCAGTTCGAGCAAAACACACTCAGTTGGATTCAATTTGCCTGTGCAGTATCGCACATCATGGGAGAAATGATCCATCTCACTTCCAAACGGATATGATTTGTTACTTCGCGCGCAGTAGTGAGTGAATCATGGCATGTGTTCTGTTCATTGGTGAGAAGGTTGCATGAAGAAACTTGACACAACCTGCCTGAAGCTTCAAGAACGCTTGCTTCCCCATGAAGAGTTGTTTGTCCTGTTCCGCGTCCGTCGGACCCCTGGAGTTAAATCTTCAATTCGTCTTTCTTGTGATTCTTCAGCTGATTCTTGTGTTTCATGTTTCTTCCCTTGCCCTTCAGTCCGTCATACCAGCAGCTGTGCCCTCGTCAATGGCTCGCTCCAACATCTGGCAATGAATGGCTGATACTCTGCACTTCAGAACTTCACCCTGATCCGTGACATTAAGAAACAAAGGTCGAAAAAGCAAGTTGAGAAAATGATTGTGGTACAGGTTCTGAACGATTTCAGAACCAGCTACTGCACATGTGCCTGTTTGAAAACATTTCATGAAAGGGTTCAAACGTCTGGAGAAATGAGAGCAAATGGCTCCAGATTTCTTTTCACATTGCCCTTGCCTCTATATTCTCCAGCCGGCAACCTTCCCTGATCTCTGCTGCTGCTAGCTTCCTTGCTGCTTCCCGTAATGTCTCTTCCTGGATTGAAGCTACTGGCGCTCACACAAACAGCTGTTGATCCTGCTGCTACAGGCCTGAAGCTCTAGAACACAAAGCCGGCCTCCACCTTGGCTTCCGTTGCCTTTCTGAGACGCATCCGAATCTCCTGCGATGCAGAACAATGATTTTGAATCCTGAATCCTGAGGATTTAAAAGGTATGGAACAATGCGATTGTAATCTGTGATGGGGCTGATTGGGGCTGTATATTGTGGCGTTGCATGAATCCCATTTTGGTAATCACCCTTGAACATGGTAGTTTGTGCGTGGTTGCAGTACACCGCCTAGGATTGGAATGTGTGTGTGTGTGTCTGTGCCAGCCTCATCCTGTGTATGTCTGTGCCCTTGAATCCAACCTTCAAGTCTGGCTTCTTCAGGGAAACAGCCAGTTCCAACCTTCGCTAGCTTGAATCTGGATGAACAACATACTAAAACCGCCACTTTAAGGATTCGACTCAGTGTTAAGAAGACGCATGATGGTTTCTTTGAATGCACTTGTGTAGTAAAGAGTCTGGAAAATTGCGAATGTCAAAGAGTTTGCATGATTTGTATAAATACAAACATAGTGCACCCGGTTTCACAGCCAAGATCAGGAAGCAAAGCGTAGAAGAAACATGAAGAAACATCGTCCGGCGTCAGCTGGAACCACTGAAAAATCTACAAACATTTGATCTTGAGGCTCCAGCTCACGCACCAAGCGCCAACCCAAGGTGATCTCTGACTCCTGCTCGCGACAACTCACCGCTGTTCTTCAGTTATACCGTCATCCTTTGTTCTAATCTGCGATTCAATCTCTGCACAACAATTCATCTTGCTCTTGATCATCTTGATTCTGCTACTTGAAACTCAAGTCTCAGTGGCGGATGGGACCATCATACTGCGGTACTGCTATGTGCAGAATTGTCTTTTGCTGCACTTTTTTATTGACAAGTCTTGGGTCTCTAATGGTCTTCGCCTCAAGCTTCTTCTTTTCTTGTCTCAGCTTGTCTCTTGTTGGTCGTGGTTCTACCAAGCACCAAACAGGACGTGTCCTCAACAGCTGCTGCTTCTGCCCCAGGTACAAGTTTCAGAAGCGACTCCAGGTCACGAGCCTTGCAGTGCAGCTGCCTTTGGAGACGAAAAATCCAAGGCCCCGAGGCGCCCCGAGGCTCCGAGGTCCCGAGGTTCCGGCCTCCATTGCATCCCTCATCTTTAAGAATGCCAGTCGTGTCTTGGCCTGCAGCTGTCATGCAGCTGTCACAGCTGTCGTTCTGTGTTCTGTGAAGGAGACAAAGCTCAACATAAAACCAAATAAGCCAAGCGTTTTCACAGTGCATCACAGCTTGGGAGACCCGGTAGCAATTCGAGGCTGGGGACCTCTGAAACCTTTTCTGCATCTGCATCGTCATTCTGATTCAGCGTCGCCTGGACCACACAGAAAATAACACGGTGTTGCCTGCTCTGAGCCTCCTGTATTACAGCAAAGTCAAGTGAAAGTGACCAAGTTGGCTCTACACAACCGAAAACGGTTAAAAACATCAGTCATTGAGTCATAGGACAAACAATTAGTCTTCATGGGTCATTAGATACATTAGATACAAGACTTTGTTGATCACTGGAAGGACGGCCATCCCTTGATGGCCTCATTGAGATCTGATTGCTTCGCAGCGCTTTGTCTTTCGTCCTCTTGATCTCCGGTTGTTTCCATCGGTGTCTCTGCAGACTCCGGATCTTGCTGCTCCTCCCAAGCAAGTACTCAATGTGGGTATGTCTGAAAATGGGGTATACCCCCAATTATAGCCATTTAGTAGGGATAATGATCATTAACCATTGGGTGTAGGGGTACACTATTTTCAGAATGGTTGTGCAGGACATGAAGGTTTGTTGGGAAAGTTGCTCGTCTCCAATCCTGGCTTGCATCCTGCGCCGTATCACCATCTGGTAGAAAACGTCGAACACCTGGTCGCTCCTGGTCCGGAAGGATTGGCAATGAAGAGCAGATGAACTGCCACCTTCCTGTCGCGGAATATGAATTGATGAATTTATCCCACCCACATGCTCCCAATAATTCTGTGACCTTCAAAAGGATATGTGACCGGTAACCAGCCTACTACCCAAAAATATCGGACAACCATCCCAACTGACCGACATCATCTGCCTCATTGGTTGCAGCATCCCATTTTGCAGCATCTTTCTCCCTTTGACCTGATACGGTTGACCGCTGCAACAATATCAATGATGAGGACCAACCAGATTCTGAAATGGAGCAATGAAACACCGAGGGGAAAGCCCGTCTTTCCAGAAGACTTTTTGCCCAGCCCTGCAGCAACCTTGTGCATTGGAAACGGAGAGAGCAATAAGGAGGGATCCGACATACATGAAACATCATAAAACATGGATGAAACATGACTAAAACATGCATAAACACGGTTGAAATCAGCTAAGCCGAGAACAACTTGCTCCAGAACGTGCTGGAGTTCTTCCGCGCATGTCTTGGAAGCTGAGAAGACCATCTCTCGCATCAGATATCGCTGGTAGGCCTCGCAAGAAGCTTGATCGTGATTCACTTAGCTTGTGAAAAAACATTCAAATTTAACGACAAACAAATGTATTTATACACGGTAAAACCGTATATGTCAATGTGTGATAATGTATGTGTATATATATATTATATACAGGGCACCCGCAGCTTGGGTAAGACATTTCACGCTGACGCTGACGACGCATTGTGACGACACATTGGCGATGTCCCCGGCCCCCCTGACGACGCATTGTGACGACACATTCCCTGACGACGCAATGCCCCCTGACGACGCATTACCCCCTGACGACGCATTGTGACGACACATTCCCTGACGACGCATTGCCCTCTGACGACACATTACCCCCTGACGACGCATTCTGACGACACATTCGCTGACGACGCATTGCTCCCTGACGACGCATTACCCCCTGATGACGCATTGTGACGACACATTCCCTGACGACGCATTGCCTTGCCCCCTGACGACACATTACCCCCTGACGACGCATTGTGACGACACATTCCCTGACGACGCATTGCCCCCTGACGACGCATTACCCCCTGACGACGCATTGTGACGACACATTCCCTGACGACGCATTACCCCCTGACGACGCATTTACCCCCTGACGACGCATTCTGACGGACACATTCATTTCGCTGACGACGCATTGCTCCCGACGACGGCATTTACCTGACGCACACATTGTGAAGACACATTACCTGAGACGGCATTGCCCCCGGACGTGGTACCACAGTGGCGATGTCCCCGGGCCCCCCTGACGACGCATTGTGACGACACATTCCCTGACGACGCATTGCCAACTGACGACGCATTATCCCCTGACGACGCATTGTGACGACACATGCCCTGACGAGGCATTACCCCCTGACGACGCATTGTGACGACACATTCCCTGACGACGCATTGCCCCCTGACGACGCATTGTGACGACACATTCCCTGACGACGCATTGGGCATTACCCCCTGACGACGCATTGTAACGACACATTCCCTGACGACGCATTACCCCCTGACGACGCATTGTGACGACACATTCCCTGACGACGCATTATCCCCCTGATGACGCATTGTGTGTATATTATTGCCTGACGACACATTGCCTGTTGACAGGCTAGGCATGACGAGCAAGGGCGCAGGCGTACTGTATTCTTTGTATGTGGGAAGATAAATAGAGGAATGTAGAGAGGAAGAGGGGCCGGAGGGCAGATAGGGATTTGGCCTGACCACCAAGGCTAGGTTATGTCGAAATATAAAGCGTAGAGGTAATTATCAAGATCGTCTGGCGTGCTTTTGCAACCTCAGTTGAAGATCCTTGAGGCAAGGATCAATCATTAAGTTGAAGTAGTAGAACCTTCTTATCTTCTTACCAAACCCAAACGAAGAGAGCGCCGGAGTGTTCCAGGAGAAAGCTCAGGAAGTTCAATGAAAAAGTATTGAGCGTGTAGCATTGAGAACATGCGGGAGTTGAGCGCGTAACATCAAGATGAGCGAGCAATATCAAGAGAAACCTAAGCGAGCAATACCAAGAGAGCGTGTTGAAGGACCAAGAAAAACCTAAGAGTCTAGCATCCAGAACGTGTTGGAGGTCAGAGCGTAGCACCAAGCGAAGAACAAAAGAGCGTAGCAACTAGAGCGTCCTGGCGTGTTCCAGAACAAAGCTAAGAGCGTAGCAGGAAGAGCGTGACTTTCTCCAGACCGCAGCGTCAAGAGGCGGAGCGTAGCACCAACAAGAGCGCGTTGGAAGTTCCAAGAAAAATTATAAGAGCGTATCATCACGATTGTGGTGGACCGTAGCGTCAACAGCATCTTGGACTGTTCCAAGACGAGGTTCAGCGCGTAGCATCAAGAGAGTGTCAGAGCCGGAGCCAAAAACGTAGCATCAAGAGCGTGTTTTAACTCAATGCGTCACAAAAAGAAGAAAAAATAGCGCGCCATGCTTCATGAGAAGCCAAGGGCGTAGCGTCAAGAGCGTGCTGGCACGTCCCAGGACAAGGCAAAGAGAAAGTGTTGGAAGATAAAACACACCAAGAGCGTGTTGGAAGTTCCAATAGACAGCTAAGAGCGTAGCATCAAGAGCTTGCCGGACTGGCCCAGGAGAAAGCTAAGAGATGCTCAGAGCGTAGCAGCAAAAGCGTGTCGGAAAACCCAAGATTAAGCCAAGAGCGTAGCACCAAGAGCTTGTTCGAACTTCCAAGAGAAAAAATTAGCATAGCATTCAAGAGGCGACTCTCTCCAGAGCGTAGCGTCAAGGGCGTGCTGAAACGTCTCAGGTGAAGGCCAAGAGCGTAGCATCAAAAGAATTTTCAAAATCTCAAAGAGCAAGCCCAGAGGCTATAGCATCCAGAGCATTTCGTTTGTTACTCTTCCCTTTCGTTTTGTCTTCCCTTCTGTTCCCTACGTCGCTCCTTTCGTTTTAACTTCTGCTCCGTTCGTTACTTCCTCCCCATTGTATTTTCAGGGTTTTTGGGGCCCTACCTGCAAACCAATTGCTAATAATTGCGACTTTTGGGTGCTTATAACTAAATGTGTTGGGGTTGTCATGTTGAGGGTACAGGGTCAATATCTTCAGAGTGCACCATCTATGGAGTTTCTTATGGTGGGTCCTTATGGTCGCTGCTACTTGAGCTCGGCGCATGCCGAGTCGGTGTTTGTACAATTGCTGGATAGTATGTCATCATGGATTGTTCACAAGTTGAGGTCCATAAACCAACCCTTGAAACCGTGACCATGGTTCCGCCAGTTCCTGGAACTGGGGGCCCGGTTCCTAACATGACAGGCCCTTGTAGGGAAAATATGCAAGTGAACCAAACAAAGACGTCCGTTATATGGTGAAAACCCACCATGGACAAAAAAATGTCCCTACCGTTTGCCAAAATAAAAACTAGATGCATATATGACATGCATGTAGGCTTTGAGTGTATGCATGCTTTTCTCCCAAGTCCTTGGTGAAAAAGTCGTCTTCGGGGGGCAATTCGTCTTCGGGGAATTCGTCTTCGGAATTCGTCTTCGGGGGGGAATTCGTCTTCGGGGGGCAATTCGTCTTCGGGGAATTCGTCTTCGGAATTCGTCTTCGGGGGGCAATTCGTCTTCGGGGAATTCGTCTTCGGAATTCGTCTTCGGGGGGGAATTCGTCTTCGGGGGGCAATTCGTCTTCGGGGAATTCGTCTTCGGAATTCGTCTTCGGGGGGCAATTCGTCTTCGGGGGGCAATTCGTCTTCGGGGAATTCGTCTTCGCAATTCGTCTTCCGGTGGGCAATTGTCTTCGGGGGGCAATTCGTCTTCGGGGAATTCGTCTTCGTAATTCGTCTTCGGAATTCGTCTTCGTCTGCGGGTGGAAATGTCTTACCCGCACAGCGGGCTCAATGTATATATATATTGCATATAGTAATATTTGCATGTGTATCATATCTACTGTACATATTAGTGTGTGATAGTGTCTGTGTGTGTGTGTGTCACTATGGCCATCGTTTTCAGTCGGTTTCCTAGACCAAACATGGTCTATCTGCCCATATCCCACCTCCTCATTCAGTTCCTGCAAGAAGCCCTTGCCAAGGTGTTCAGAGAGGACAAGTAAAAGAACTATCCGATGCATCGCGTGTTGCTTGTGGGTTTTGCCATTGCGGTGGCACCTTCCCAAAGTCTCGGATCTCATGCTTTCCACCTGAAGAGTCAATGGAGTTACGATATATCTTACAGCCCTGTATGGCAAAGTATTCAATGCATTCCACCATATATATATAATATATATAATCCTCTCAGATCTCTCAGTCTATTTGAGCGCAACACCAATTTCTCTTGCACGCATGAGGGCTGCAGCAAGCGTGTCTGCCTAAGTACATGTCAAATTCAGAGAAATGCAGCCATAGCTGTGCAAGCCTCCTGCTATCTTGTCAAACCAGGAACCAGTCCTTCTATTTGGTCAGCTTACACAATATTACAAGACCTAGCCGCCTAGCCCGAAGGCCACAAGTAGTTCATGTTTACACATCTTTGAGGTTCCTTTCTGGAATGTGTTTATCCTGCTCCTGAAATTACTCACTAAGGACCTTTGGCGAGAGATGCCAGAGAGTCTCTTAGATGTGTTTCGGTTTATGGAAATCAATGCTTTGAGGAGGAATACTAAATGCAGCTCAAGGATGCTATTGCAATTTATTTTTTTATATGTGTTTTTCATATTTATTCCATTTGCTGTTGGATGCTGTTGGTAGGGATTAGCTGCAACTGTTCAACTGCGCACTACCTATTGTTATCGTAACACCATTGCAATTCACAAGACTTCGCAGTCGTGCCACTTGTCTATGTCTCCTATGATGATAACATATGGCAGTGGGTCAAAACCTGGAAAACCCCTGGCGAACATCAAAATAGCTGGTATTTATGGCTGTTCATCCCCCGAAAAATGGTATGTATAGGTATTGATCCATAGCCATATCTGACTTTTCTTGTCAGCTTAAGTTGCAGAGCCATCCTCAATGTCCTTTGGGTCTTCGTCCTCCTGCTCGATCTCTTCCTCCATCCAAGCTCTGGGCTCTGAACGCGTCGTCAAGTGATGTCACAAGTAAGAAAATGTTCAAAATGCATCAAAATGCAACAATTTGGATCAAAATGGTGCTTCACTGTGGGATGTTTCCCAGGCATCCCGCCTCTTCATCATAGAATTTGTTCTGTGCATCGTCATCAGACTCGTCTGACTCTTCAAAATCCTCGCTGCGTATAACAAAATGTTCATTGGAGTGGGGCTGACAAACAAAAATACGGTCTATAGAGTCTATAGCCGAATATAGCGGACACATGCTCAGAGAGAGAAATCCGAAACTCTCATTATGTCCAAACATAAACTGCCAGCTGTTCCTTGCACAGCACAGCTTTTGAACTTGGCAGGATAATAGCAGCAAATATCAGCTGGTCGTTGAGAATTGTGTATTGCACATCTCTGCTGGCCTTTTTGGACAGAAAACGATTAGCAAAAGGGAAGTGTTGGGTAACCTGGCAACAAGGAGAAAAATTTAAGGAGGATAGCATCAACAGAGCCACTTTGACAGAAACGCCAGTCGAAAAGACTAGGAGACAGGGTTCTGCAGTGGTACTAGGTACGAGTTGCACTGGCTGAACTGGGATTTTCCACTTCACATCGTTCCCTTGTAACACTCGGAGCAGTTGAAACCTAAATTCATCCAACTTCACCTGATGCAATTCAGCACATGCTTACATCTCCTTGCCAGGTTTATAAATAAATTACTGTATAAGTTACAGTTACAAGTTTCAAATGGCATGAAAACATGCTCAATCGATGCTCGATCGCCGATCGCAAACAAATTCGTTCCATCCTGTCCTCCCCTCTCTCCAGAGCTGCCTGTCTCCGAGCTTCACGAGCAGCTTCCTATCACCAAAGTTAGCTGGCTGCCAGACTACTCAAGTTGTGATAGTTGTGGCTTTCCAAAAGAAAAATCCATAAAAATCCTGATCATTGTACTATATTGTACTGGTCACCATAATTTGCATCATGAGACAACCGTCGTTTCAGATGTTTCAGAACCCTTTGGGCCTTTGCAGCTGCACGCTCGGCTGCTTTCCGAGCAGTCTCCTCTGCCAATCGCTGAGCGGCCTCATTCAGCTTCAACTGTGCTGCGCTATCGTCACAAATCGTGGCTCACGGCCTGCTCCACTGCCAAACGGTGAAGAGTTGCTTTGACCTCGGAGGAGTGAACTGAGTGAACTGTGCTGCTCCGGTTTTCCGCTTTTCTCATAGTTTTCTCATTTTTCTCCTTAAAGGGTTGGCAATCGGCGGGATTCGGTTCCCAACCGCTGTGAAGATTCGCAGTTCGGAATAGACACGTCGACCTGAGACCAACTTGGAGATTGAATCCACAAAGGGATTTCAACATATTTCAACATATTTCAACATATTTCAACA